GTCGGTTTATAACACTCTCAAAGTGTTCGGCCCATAGTTCCAGTCATTTTTATCGGTAGTGGGCTTGGAATCATCTTAGTAGAAGGGGTGATTCGAAGTACCCAAGCAAGATGGACCATAAATGCAACGTAGGCTCTCATAGAATGTTTCAGTCTCTCTAATCTTATGCTCCAACCAGTCATGTTTCATTTGTTTTAATTTCTTCTGCATGTTTCCTTTGCAAGATCCTAATGCGTCTTGTTTTGAGTGGGAATTTGGATAACTGGCTGATATTGTATCAGCTTTCTCTTTTCTTGAATGAGGTTCGAAAATTAATTTGTTGTTCTAATCAGACAAAACCTCATGACGATGACTGGGAAAGCCGATTGTTTCAGAGGCTGTTGTATAAATTGTGTCTCTGAGTAAAGTCCAGTTTCTTTCAATGTCATTGGGAGTGAAGGAAATCTTTTTCAAGTTGGTAAGGTCTGTTTTGAGGGGTGTTTGTAAAGTCAGCATTTTTGGAAGGTTTGTTTGTGTCGAGTTGTCGAGATGAAATTTCCCCTGCGGACACCTTTGTTTTAAATATAATCTCTGGCTGACTTTGTTCACCATCAGTCAGAGGTCAGATCCACATTTTACATCGCATATGGCGTGAGTGACTCTGCTATTACTCATGCCTTTACGTCTCACGATAATATCATCAATGAGATGCCAGTGCTTTGAGCGAGGATGCATCCATGAAGATCTGGATCTTACTAGAGGGGACCAGGCACATGAGTCCGAGTCTACTCTGGCGTTGAAGTCACCTCTATCAAAAACATCTTACAGAAGCTGGGACAGAGCACAGGGTGCTTCGATGTCACAATGGAATTCATCTTTGGCATCATCTGGGTTGGTCATCGTAGGGGCAATACACTCACAAATGTTGCGCACGGGGTCTTACCAAGGGGAAGTCTCAAAACTATGTGCCTGCCATTTATATCTTTTGGAAGGAATTCCAGTTGGGCAGCTGTATAATTTTTAATCACAAAGCCAACACCATTATTTTGTTTTACTTTCTGAAATATATTTTCCCTTCCAAAAGAAAGTGAAGCCACTACTCGGTTCTTTCAACTGACCATCATCAGCAAATCTTGATTCACAGAGAGCAAAGACATCGAGGTCATAGCGACTAAGCTCCATTGCAATAATTGATGTCTTCCTTTCAAGACTGGAGACATTGTCGCCTAAAGTGTACGAATGTTTCAGCAAGCATTTTTTCAAAATGGTTGTTGTTGTTGTTGGGTTGTTGGGTTTTTTTCAACCTCATTGCAGCATCTCTATTGATCGTGGTGAACCTGTCCGGGTTGATGAGGTGAGATTTTTAAGGGCACCTTTCCTAGCCCCTTTCCCTTGTGAGGTGAGCAATTGACTTCTGCAAAAGTTTGTTTAAAGTGAGAAAGAGCAGCACAAACATCAAACTCAAGTTCTCGCCCAGGTATAATGTATCTGAAGGCAAGATAAAGACAAGACTCAGATTAGTGTCTCTATCGGGTGCAGTAGGTTGTCAGAAAGCCACCCATAAAGAAGAGCAGACTGGCATAGAGGTACAGTACACCTCTCGCAATCCCAGCTGACTAGGACTTGAGGACCTTGGGAAAGAACACATACAGTTTGGGGGGGGGGGGCAAGATCTAAAGACAAGGTATCTACATAGTATTATCTTGTTTTCATACACACCTAAGCTTTAGTCAAGACTAATTTTTTTTAACCACTCTTCACTACGATTGCATATATAGATCTAGATCTGCTATTTTCTAGACGTAGAGGCTCCCTTTTTTAAAGATGGAATCAGTTCTACGTGAGTGACAAAAAAAAATTCTGTTTAAAAAGGTGTTAAACGATACCAAACCATATGAGATGAGAGAAGGGATGTTGGGTTTTCGGGGG